ATCCAAGCCCCCGTGGGCTCGGGTACTCAGCAACCCCACACGCCACAAGACTGCTTGTGCCCCTCTCCTCGTACGGCGTCCCATTGCACGCAGCCACCCTGCTGCTGGGGACGTGCTGAGATCTAGGACCCCGAGCAGGGCTGGGGCAGGCAGGGGGCTCAGTGCAGCTGGAAATCAGCTACGTCTTCTCTGCCGCCCTCACGCTGCCCCTCCAAGGGAGGAGGCTGCCCAGGCCCTTGAGGCATGATGAACCCGGGGGTCTGCGAGAGCTGAGCGGGTCTGAGCTCAAAGGGGCCGGGACTTGAGATGCTCTGGGGTGTAATGGGGCTGTGGGAGAGCCAGGAGGGCACTGGGGGCAGGTCCCTGTGGGGCACGAGGGGCGAGGGCTGTTACCCGTGATCCTCTGGCACCAGAGGTTACAGGGTGAGAAATGGGAGCTGGGGACGTGTCTCTTGGTGCGGGAAGGGTTGGAGAGGCCGGGCTGGGTGTGGGGAGGGGGTGACACAGGCAGGGCAGGTGCCATTGCGGGGACAGACAGACCCACCCACACAGGGGAGGTGGAAATCCCAGCGATGGCAACTCAGGGAAGGAGGGCAAAGTCCCAGGTGCAGGAGCCCGGGGAGCAGCCAGGAGGAACGGGGCAAAGTCCAGGGGGGATGTACAGGGAACGCCAGGGTTGCAATGACAGGGAAGCCAAAGATTATCATTTGGAGACGGTCTCTCCAAATGGGGCTGTTGTGAGGCTGAGAGCTGGGCTGCAGGTGAAGCCGCTCTCCCCGACCGTCAATATGAGGCTGTTTCTTCCCGACTCTGCGGCTGTCCCCTGATCCCACAAGAAGGGTCCGTGGTGCGGGAAGTGCGGAGTGAAGGGGCAGCAGTCATCATGTCGCTGTGCAGTCTTGCGCTGTGAGCAATGTGGGGAGGGCAAGAAAGGCCCATCCATGCACAGCAGCGCAGGGCAATGCAGATCTGGGGTCACAGCTCCAGCCACAGGAGAGTCCCTGGCTGGCCTAAGGGGCACCAGGAAACTAAACTGGGTGTGAGCAGCCTCCGCCTGGTCCGCTTCTGTCAGGGAAAATGGCAGAGAATGGGAAATGCTTGAACAGAGATTTGAACTGTATTGAGGGGCTAGCAGGGCAGAGATCAAACCCAGCCGTGGGAAGTCATCTGTATTTCTATGAGCGGCTGGGCAGGAGGCGCTGGACACTGACAACATGTTTCAGCTTGAGGAAGGGCAAAACCTGCAGGTCAGTGAAATCCTGACCAAATGTGTCGAATTAGGGATGCCACAAGGACATGAGAAATGAATGTTTCATCAGGTGCCTGCAACCACCTGATGATATGCTGGAGCAGGACATCACCGGGTTGAGGACACACGGGAAGACCTGGGACTTCGGGGAGCTGGAAGAGTGCCCAGGCAGAGACTGAATAATCTGTGGCAGTGACGCCCATGTGTTAGTTTCTGGGTGTCCTCGGAGAGAGCTGGAGGCTCCGATCCCCCGACCCCGTGCAGGCACCCTGGGGTGACGCTGGCCCTGCCCCAGCTGGAGAGGAGAACCGCACGGTTCCTCTCAGGGGGGACGCACCAGGCTCCCCGCAGGCGCAGTGTCAGGTCTGGAGCAGCCTTTGCCATTGAAGAGCTTTGAAATGAAACATGAGAGATCAGACTCAATGGAGGGGAGAGCTGGATTATTTTTCTTTCTTTTATACTTTTATATCTCCCCCATCCCGCTCATCCAGGGAAAACTGAACACTTTCAGGAGAGCCTGAGTTTTTAGGGTTGTTTTTTGTAGCCATATTGGTCTAAGGACATAGGCAGGCAAGGTTTCTTTGGGTACATGTGATATCTTTTATTGGATCAACTAAATCTCGATGATCTATTGCGGTCCCTTCCGACCCTAACATCTATGAATCTATGAATCTATAGTTGGGGAAAAGTTTGCAGGCTTTTGGGCACAAACACCCTTGTTCAGGCGTCTGTGCAAACAATCCTACTGGAAGGAGGCGGGAAGGACCGAGATGTCTTTGTTGTCAGATCCTTCTGCTTCAAACCAGCTGGAGCAGGGAAGCCTGCTCTGAGTTTTTAGGCAGTTCTCAGCCCCAAATAACAGTCCTGACAGCTCTGAAAATTTCTTGGCTGACAGCAGATGCAGTGAGAAGTGCTGGGTATGTTGAATTATTGTGTAGTGGCTTCAAACCCTTTTTCTGCTGTTTTCACTGGAGTTGTGCCGAGCTGCTGCTCCACGAAGGGTTACCAGATCCCCCGGGATCCCAGGGCTGGATCGTGACCCCGGCTCCTCCCAGCTCAGCATCAGTGCAGTTATTTCGCAGGAAGGAAACGGCCCAGGGTGAGCCCAGCCCTGAGCTCAGGAAAGTGAAACTAGCCCCGTGCCCTCCCGTCTCACAGCCATGGCCGCGGCGAGCGCTGTACAAAGCCTCCGGGACGAGGCGACCTGCTCCGTCTGCCTGGAGTTGTTCAGGGACCCGGTGATGATCCTGGGCTGCGGGCACAACTTCTGCCGAGCCTGCATCAACCAGTGCTGGGAGGGGGCCGAGACGGACGTCACCTGCCCCCAGTGCAGACAGACCTTTGCCCAGAGGCTCCTGGGCCCAAACAGGCAGCTGGCGAATGTAGTCGAAGTGGTCAAGGGCCTGAGCGTGGGGTCAGCGGAGGGAGCTGGGGGCAAGATGGGGGGAGAGCAGCACGGGGAGGCTCTGAAG